GGCAGCGGCGGCGACGGCGTCTGCGCAGGGTAAACGCGGCGTCGCGACGCTGCCGACCTGCACTTTCGCCACGGTGTCCGCCCGCTCGCTGAGGCTCGAAAAGACCATGCCCTGGGACTCCGAAAGACCCCGGGACACTCCACGGGACTCTTCTAGCAATTCCATCTGAGAATTGAATTTCTGTAGGCTGAAGTCGCCGCACTCGGTTTCCGGGGTCTTCGGGCCGTTTGTGGCGAATCTGCGGCCACGGACCGTGAGCACGAAGCTGGGCGTGAGGAGCCCGCCCTTCTCCCCTCCCCCCTCTTCCTCCTCCTTCCCTGCTCCCTCCCTTCTGCTGGCGCCGCCGCTGCAATAGGGACCTGGCCTTGGTCTCCGAGGAAGGCGGCGAGGCGGGGCCAGAGTCACTGGGCGGGGCTGGGGGCAGGGCCGGGAATAAGAGGGACGCGGGCTGGAGCCTAAGGGGGCCCGGAGTTATGGGCGGGGCGGGGCTGGAAGAATAGACCATCGATGGGGCGGGGCTTGTTGGGGGGCGGAGCTATCTGTTAAGCGGGACTCAGAATGGGGCAAGAAAATAGTAAGTTTAAGAGTGAGGTTAAACAGTGGCCCTCAGGAAAGAAAGGACGGAGCTGTGAATGGGCCTGTTAAGCGGAACTGTTCTACAGATAAAGGACAGAGCTGGGAAAAATCGACGCGAGACTGAGGAAGAGGGCGGGGCTTGGGAAAGATAAAGGGGCGAGGCTGGAGGGAAAGGGTGGGACCAATTTGGACTCACCGGGCGTGACTGAAGGAAAGGGAAGGAGCTCGGGAAAGGTAAGGGAGAGGTAAAGGTTAAGGGAGGAGTGGCTCTGAAGGAAGGGGCTGGGTTTCAGGAGAAGCAGGGCGCTGGTGGCGTGAAAGTGCTTGTATATGGTGAAGTGGGATTCAGGTGCTGGGAATCCTGTTAGTTGGCAGGGATATGCTACGGGTTGCTGGTCGGAAGAAGGTGTCAAAACACAAATAACTGATTTAATTTGACAGCCACTTCCTAGCTATGTGAATGTGAGCAAGTTGTTAAATTCTTCCTCAAGTTTCTTATTTGTAAAACAGAGCTCGAAAACTCTATTTATTACCAGTTCTTGGGAACTTCAGAGAACTTGTTTGCCAGGGAGACATTTTTGTTAAACAGCGCTTCTCCGGTTTTATCATTAAAGAGCCTGAAAAGTCTTCCAGAGTTCTGGGACAAAGCCCAAGCAATCTGAACGCTTCTGTTTTCATGCAAATTTTGCATTTGACCCACTAAAATGTGTATATTTTTGTACATGTTTTCCAAAACCCTTCCAATAAAATCGACACTCTAGGAAGATGTTTGCTGGTTAAGATCTTGGGATCTGAAGTCAAGTAAATGAGTTCTCTTAAACAAGTGACATGCTCTCAGAGCCTGTTTCCTTGTGTGTAAAATGGAAATAATTATAGCGCCTATTCTCAACAGGGTTGTTGTAAGAATTAAATGAGATGATGCTTGTAAATCACCTACCACAATGTTTGATATGTAGTGAATGCTCAAAGAAAATATTATGTTGTTATCCTTATTCAACAAATTCAGAATAAATAGCAAAGGAGAGTTATATGAAGTCATTTTAAAGCCAACTCCTTTAAAAGTCAGGAACCCATTTGAGAATCTGATGGAAAGTGTGTACCTTTCTCCTGAGAAAATACATGCACACACACAATTTCACTTATTTCTTAAAATATTTGAAGGATGTATGAAGAAGTAATTGGATGAATATGTGTTAGGATAGGGATGAACCCTAGCTGAAGCCTTGCTCCCTCCCTCTTAGTGTGGCTCCAGGCCTCAGGTCCGCTAATCTTCCCTCCCCAAGATCCGTGAGACGAGTTGGAATAAAGATCAGCTTTATTATTGGCATGAAGGCAGGGAGGTGGTGAAGTGCCAGGCCCTTCTGCAGATGAGGGGGCAAAGGGCTTGCCAACCAGCACCGATCCTCTAAGCTGGCCCTCCTGATAAGGTTCAGACTCCAGGTGCCCCTGGCTTCCAGCAGAAGCAATGGTGAGTGAGCAGGTGAGCAGACTATTAGGCATTGGATATGTGGAATCCTCAGGGCTGCTCTGGAGCTGGGGTTGTGCTGGCGTCGGCAGGGGGTGGGGGTCGAGGCTGGATGTCCCTGGTGCGCATATAGGACAGCAACTGCTCTGGGATCTCAGCCAACACATCCTTGGCCAGTCGGGCCATGCTCAGCACCTGGTTCCCCGACCGGTCGACATAGTCTCGGAATGGGACGAACTGGGGCAGGCACAGAAAAGAAGGTGTGGGCTGTGGCCAGGAGAGAGGGTATATGGAGGGGTAGCAAGGAGGCTTCTTTGACCCCTAGCATCTCTTTCCAAATATTGGACTATCTCTCTCCCTCAATCTGTTTTCTACATTTGCTTTTTTTCACCTTATATTTACCTCCAACCCACTCCAACTTGGCTTCATGCAGTACATTGAAACTGCTCTTGGTGATGTCATCAGTAGCCCCATGTTGCTAAATCAGACTGGTGGGCAATAATTTTCAGTCATCTTGCTTGACTTTTCTTTAACTTTCCATTACATTTGACCATAATCCTTCTGGACATATCCCACTCTTGACACCACATTCTTCTGGTTTTTTGCTTATCTTTCTGGAAGCTCTTTTTTCTCCCCCTATTCTTCTGGGTCTACCTGCTCTCAAAACCTGTCTCAACTCTCTTCCTGGATGATTTCATATACTTGTGTGATTTTAAAAATTATCCCCTGGAAGGAAGTAGAAGGGGTTGGGAGGGGGCAAAGGAGACTGGGAAGAAGGAGGGACCAGAAGAGAGAAGGGGCAGAGATCAAGGGAAAAGGAGGTCTGAGAAGGGAAGGAGGCCCAAGGGATGGGGTCGGGGTGAGAAGGGGGCTAGGAAGGAGAGGAGGTCAAATGAGAGGGGGAGTTGGGTAGAGGATGGGAACGAAAGGGATGCCGGGAGGGGGAGCTAATGAGGGAGAAGTAAAAAAAAAAAAGTGGGGGAAGAAAAATAAACCTATTTCCTAATGATTCCCAAATGTAGATAGCCATCCCTAACTTCTTTTTAATGTCCAGAATTACCTACTAAGTTGCCATATTACCTCTTTATTCAGTTGTCACAGATACCTCAAACTCAGTGTGTTCACAACTGATTTGAGCTCTTTCTGCCAAATCTCCTTCAGCTTTCCCCTTCCCAGTAAATGGGACCATCACTCACTCAGTTGCTCAAGCTAGAAGATTGAGAGTCATCCTTGAAATGCTTCTCACTCCCCCTCACCATCTAATCAAGTCTTATAACATTTTCTTAAGTATCTTTTGAACCTGCTATTTCTCTCCATCCCCACTGCTTCCATCCAGATCCTTATCATCTCCCTTATACTACTTCAAAGGCTTCCTCACTAATGGGTCTATCTGCCTTTCTCTTTTGTCCTGTTACAGTCCACCCTTCATGCTGCAGCCAAAGAAAGCCTTTTTTTTTTTGGATCAAAGTCTTACTGTTGCCCAGGCTGGAGTGTAGTGGCACACTCATGTTCACCTCAGCCTTGACTGGCTGGGCTCAGGCAGTCCTTCCACTTCAGCCTTTCCAGTAGCTAGAACTACAGGCACATGCCACCATGCCCAGCTATTTTTTTTAATGTATTGTAGAGACATCTTGCCAAGTTGCCCAGGCTGGTCTTGAACCCCTGGGCTCAGGAAATCCTCTTGCATCATCTTCTGCCTTTAAACAGACTCTTTCATAGTCTTTGCAGCTTCATATCCCACTACTAAGCTTTTCGCCTCCACCTCTCAAAATGCTGGGGTTACAGGTGTGAGCCACCAGGCCCAGCTGAGAGCCTTTTAAAATGAAGTCTGGGCCAGGTGCAGTGGCTCACACCTATAATCCCAGCACTTTGGGAGGCAGAGGTGAGAAGATTGCCTGAGCCCAGGGCTTTGAGACCAGTCTGGGCAACTGGCGAAACTTCATCTCTACAATAAATAAAAAAATTAGCTGGGCGTGGTGGCACACACCTGTGGTTCCAGCTCTGTTGCCTAGGCTGGACTGCAGTGGTATGCTCATAATGACCTAAGCCTTACCTGCTGGGCTCAGGTGATCCTTCCGCCTCAGCCTTCCAAGTAGCTGAAACTATAGGCGCATGCCACTATGTCCAGCTAATTTTTTTTTTTTTTTGAGTCGGAGTCTCACTCCATTGCCCAGGCTGGAGTATAGTGGCATGCTGCTCACGGCCTCAACCTGCTGGGCTCAGGCGATCCTTCTACCTCAGCCTTCTAAGTAGCCGGAACTACAGGCACATGCTACCACGCCCGGCTAAGTTCTTGATTTATTGTAGAGACGGGGGTCTCACCACGTTCCCCAGACTGGTCTCAAACCTGCGGGCTCAGGCAGTTCTCTCACCTCAGCCTCCCAAAGTGCTGGGATTACAGGCTTGAGCCACCGCACCCAGTCTAATTTTTTGATTTATTGTAGAGATGAGGTCTCACCATGTTGCCCAGGCTGGTCTCAGATCCCTGGCCTCAGGCAACCCTCTTCCCTTTGCCTCCCAAGATGCTGGGATTACAGGCAAGAGCCATTGTGCCCAGCCAAGAACTTTCCAATTCTTTTAGAACAAAATCCCAAATTTTGGTTCCCTCCTGTCACTTAGTGTGATCCTGCCACTCTGGCTTCTGCCCTTCCTTGATTGGGCCAATCCTTCTGAACCTCAGGGCCTTCTCACATGCTGCTCTGTAATGCTTACACCCTCTTTAGGTCTCAGCAACCTAAAGAATCTTTTCCTGACTACTGTAAGTCAGGTCCCCTGTTATAGGCTCTCAGAGTGGTATTTGCTATTCTTTAGAGTACTGCCACAATCAAATGAGATATTTATCTGTGTGATTACTTATTGTTGGTTGCCTCCACTAGAGGGTGGAACCCTGGGGATCTCCACCATGGATCCACTAAAGGCTGCAGCAACATTCCTGTTTTTCAAAAAGAATGTGTTCAGTGAATGAGGAAGGATCAACCAGCGAGGGGGAGAAAAGTGGTGGTTTAGAAGGCAGTAAGGGAGAGTGATTCCCAACCTAGCCCCTTCTTCCCACTGTTCCTCTCAGCTCCACGACCTCACCCAGATCAGGTCTACCTGAACGATGTCCCGCTCTGCATAGCGTCCCCTAGAGGACACGCGCACATCATCACCATCCAGCTCTTCCATTGCTGCAGAAAAGATACACCTCAGCTGATTGGCTTCTCCAACCCCAGCCCATACTGCTCATTCCTCTTAGCTCCCCTTTGGAGTCATCATGATAATGCCTAATAGTTGTGTTAAAGTCCTACAAATATTAGATATTATTATAGAGTTATTATTATTATCATTATTATGCCTTCCCACACATTCCATTCTCCCAGGAATTCCAAGGGGGAAGTATTAGTATCATCAGCCGTGGTTATGATGAGAAAATAGGTTCAGAGAAAGTCTATGCTTTGGCCAAGGTCCCACAGGGGTATCCACTTTGTCTTTTCTGTGAGGCAGGCCCAAGTGTCCAGACCCCCTCCCACTTTTCTCCCCAAGTCTTAGCCCCACTCATGAATACTGTCATCCTACTCACCCTCAAACATGGCTGGTCCCACACCGACAATAATGATAGACATGGGAAGTGAGGAGGCCTGTGGGGAGAAAGGGTGAATTGTTGGGGCAAGCAGCCATAACTAGGTGACTGTAGGGAGACAGTTCCCTCAGTGTATGTCATGGTTCTGCACATCTTTCAAGTACAGGCACTGATTCTCTGTGTTTCAGACTATTTTTTCAAAGTTGTTTCTTTTCTATATCAAGCAGCCTTGAAAGGTACAGTGTTTTCCTGTAGAGGAGAGGGCAGGTTTATTTACTGTCCAATATAATTTTTAAAAAGATCTCCCATTGGAACAAACAGCAGGCATGCTTACTGCCAATTTAAAAAGATTTGGTTTCCCTAAACTCAGGATTCCTCTTCTATAACAATGCACAGTAGGTGCAAGTGCCATGTGGCCTTCTTCACATCATCCTGGGGATTGGGACTTAGAGAATCAGAGTAAATGCTGACACTTCAGCTACTGCTTTTGCTGGAAATAACAGTCCTTTGACTTTGATCCAAGAGTCTTATGTCTTCTTCCAGCATTCATGAAACTGGCAGGCTCACTTGTTAGTTTACAAGTAGGGAAAAATCTCAGCCCTTTCATTGTATTGATATTACCCCTCCTTGCCAAGTCCTTCTCCTTAGACTTACGCTGACGATGGCTTCCTTGGTCTGTGTCATGTCAGAGATGACGCCATCAGTGATGATGAGCAGAACATAGTACTGGGAACCATCTGAGATCTTGGCTGCAGTCCTGGGTGAGAGGCCAGAATCAGGATCTAGCTAAAGCCAGACAGGCCAAGGGGACACCTTACCTCCAAAGCTTCTACAGTCACTGTGTGAGCAATGGGTAGAAACTGGGGCTTCTAGAGCCTATGCTCCTTCACAAGACCTGGCAGCCTGCCCTTGCCTGCCATCCCTTGAATAATATTTGTTGAGCACTTACTATGGTTGACCCTGGAGATACATGAGAAGAAAAAACAAATCCATCCCAGCCCTCAGAAGTGAGGCAGACATCAACAATCACACAAAGAAGTATAAAATTATCACTGTGATGAGTGTTGTGATGGAAGGGGGGCATTGCCATGACACTGTACGGGAGTGTCTAGGTCAGTGAAGGCTTTAAGGAAGTGATGTTGAGGATAGAGAGGGTAAATGAACAGAGTGAGTGGTGGGGGGACACTATACCATTCTAGGAGCAGGAACAACATGGTCAGAGGTCTGAGGTGGTACTTAAGGAAGCCCATCCTGTCTGGAGGACAGAAGTGAGGAAAGTAGAGTGGACCATGTGGCTGAGGGCATGCAGAGGCCAGACCACAGTGGACTTGATCAACCCCTTGAAAGATTTTGATGAGTATGCAAGTGCAAAAGCAAAGGCTGAAGGCTTTCTTGCTTCCCTTCTTCACCCATTTCTTCTCTCTCCCTTCTCCCCTCTGCAGATCACATCCCATTGCCTGGGCTGCTGAGTCCTGTATAGTACTCCCTCAGCCAGTCTAACAGCTGCTCCCAAAGTTCCTTTTCCTTCTCTCCTTAGAGAAGAAAGTCAAGGTATTGTCATCTGAAAAGGACTTCAGAAGTCTTTAAGTCTAGTCCCCCTATTTTCCATTTAAGAAAAACAAAACCTAGAAAGGGCACAAAGACAATGGCAGACCCTAGTTTCTTGACTTCCAGTCTTAAGTCCTATGTGGAGTGGAAAGGATGGACTATGCTGCCCAATAAAGTAGCCCTAGCTAATGTGGTTATTGAAATTTAATTAATTTTTTTTGAGTGGAGTCTCACTCCATCACCCAGGCTGGAGCGCAGTGGCACGCTCACAGCCACCCCAGTGTTGACCTGCTGGGCTCAGGCTATCCTTCCACCTCAGCCTTCCAAGTAACCGGAACTACAGGCACGCGCCACGATGCCCAGCTAATTTTTTAATTTATTGTGGAGATGAGGTCTCGCCAAGTTGCCCCGGCTGCTCTTTAACCCGTGGGCTCAGGCAGTCCTCTCACCTTGACCTCCCAAAGTACTGGGATTACAGGCTTGAGCCACCACGCCTGGCTGTTAATTAATTAAATAGAATTAAACATTCAGTTCCTTGGTCACTTTAGCTACTTTTTAGGTGCCCAGTATTCATTTGTAACTGGTTAATACAATATTGGACAGCACAGATATGGATCATTTTCATCCATGTAGAAAGTTCTACTGGACAATGCCAGTACTTAAATTTGATCTCAGAAAGTTAGAAAAAAGGCATGGTGAGAGTGTAGAATTCAAAGAGCCTAGCCGGGTGCAGTAGTTCACACCTATAATCTCAGCATTTTGGGAGGCAGAGGCAAGAGGCAGCCTGGGCAAATTGGCAATACCTTGTCTTTACAATAAATAAAAAAATTAGTCGGGTGTGGTGGCATGCACTTGTAGTTCCAGCTACTTGGAGGGCTGAGATGGAAGGATAACCTGAGCCCAGCAGGTTGAGGCTGCAGTGGCTGTGAGCATGCCACTGCATTCCAGCCTGGCCAACAGAGTAAGATCTGACTCAAAAACAAGCAAAAAAAAAAGAGGCCAGGCATGGTGGCTCACGCCTATAATCCCAGCACTTTAGGAGGCCAAGCTGAGAGGATTGCCTGAGCCCACAGGTTCAAGACCAGCCTGAGGAACTTGTCAAGACCACATCTCTGCAGTAAATAAAAAATTAGCCGGGCATGCTGCTGCGTGCCTGTAGTTCCAGCTACTTAGAAGGCTGTGGTGACCGTGAGTGTGCTACTGCACTCCAGTCTGGGCAACAGAGTGAGACTCCAACAAAAAAAAAAAAAAAAGCCTAGCCATGCATGGTGGTTCATGCCTGTAATTCCAGCACTTTGGGAGGCAGAGGCAAGAGAATTGCCTGAATCCAGGGGCTTCAGACCAGCCTGGGCAACTTGGCAAGACCTAATCTCTATGATAAATCAAAAAATTAGCTGGGCATGGTGGCATGTACCTATGATTCCAGCTACTTGGAAGGCTGAAGCGGAAGGATCACCTGAGTCCAGCATGTCGGCTGCGGTGGGCATGAGCATGTCACTACGCTCGTCTGGGTGACAGAGTGAGAGTCCTACTCAAAAAAAAAAGCTTTGGCTTAGTTGGCCGAGGGACCAGGGTAGGAGTGGTTCATGATCCTCCTTAACAGTCCCTTCCCTTCCTAAATTCTGGCCTCAGTCTCCTCACAGGCCTGGCCTGGTAGCTTCTCCTGTCACTCACTCATTTCACAAATAGTTACTGCATACCACCTATGTGTCAGGCACCAAGCTTGGTGCTGAGCATGCAGCAAATAGGATGTTGTCCTTGGGGAGACAGTGAGGTAGTTGCTTAAACTACTAGAATACCTGGAAGCCAGGGCTTTGAGGATGTGCCTGAAAAGTGGGCAGGGTGTAGCCAGGTAATGGTGGGGATGGGGTGGGATGACAAGGATGGGAAGGTAAAGGAAAACATGATCCAGAGGTCTCGCCAAGCTGGCAACAGTGGGCATCATGGATGGGCTTGGGGACACAGGAAGTACATTTTTGGTTCCCTGTAGATGCCTTACATTCCCAAGGTCATTTAGATCTGGAAGTTGGCTGAGGAGCTAAGTAACTGGCCGGGGGAGGCTAGTCTGTGCCACACTTGGCTATATGGTGGGAAACAACAGAGAGTCCTTTGTGATCATCAGAATCATAGCTACATACTTGACATGTGTGATCTAATTTAACCCTTACCACTATTCTGTGAGGTAGACACTTTTGTGTGTGTGTATGTGTGTTGGAGTCTCACCCTTGTCGCCCAGGCTAGAGTGTAGTGGCAGGCTTCGGCCTCCGCAGCCTTGACCTTCTGGGCTCAGGCGATCCTTCTGCCTCAGCCTTCCAAGTAGCTGGAACTACAGATGCACGCCACCACGCCCGATTATATTTGTGATTTTATTGTAGAGACAAGGTCTGACCAGGTTGCCCAGGCTGGTCTGAAACCCGTGGGGTCAGGCAATCCTCTTACCTCGGCCTCCCAAAGTGATGGGATTATAGGCTGAGCCACCGTGCCTAGCCAGAGGTAGACACTTTTACAATTCCCATTTTTTTTTTTTTTTTTTGAGTTAGAGTCTCACTCTGTCGCCCAGACTGGAGTGCAGTG